CAAGTTGTGGGGAGTTAGAAAAATTCAATAATGGTTTCCTAAATATTTGATTGGAAATTGCAAGTAAAAAATGAAAAGGAAAATGTGACTACTACTAATGTAATATCCATACAATGTAAGAAATTATGGAGTAATGTAAGAAATTATGGAGTATTTCGATAGTGAATCCCACTTTTTAGAGTTTTTTTTTTTCCCTATTTAGAATGTAAAGATTCTTTTTATAGTATGAAACTTTACTATAGTATCATGACACATGAGCACACGATTCACATAAATTCGATTGCAATTTACATAAATTTTGTTTGGGCTTGAGGCTTGAGACAAGGGCCCATAAAGGCGTAGTGAGTGAGCCTCGTTCCAACATGTTCAGCATGCGTGAATGTCGTGTCTATAGGCCCAACGTGCGTATAAAATATAATGGTTAATTTAATCGTGATTTACAGATAATTGCAAACTTACGACTAAGAGTAAAATATTTGCAACCCACCGAAAACAATGTCTATATTTGTCTTTATTGGATAGTATCTGGTACCGAAACTAAATGAATTAAGTTACGTTTTTACGGATGTCCTGATCATTAAAAAAACAAAAAATAAAAAACACTTAAACTTGGAAAGAACTAATAACACCTCAAATCTCCCATAAGAAGTCAACGGCGATTTAGAATAGAAATATTTCAAAATTTAAAACTCAAAAGCAGTCATAGAGTGAGTCGATCAACAAATACTCTCTACTGTGATCGAGACCAAAGGTGGATTACAACTCATCCATATACAGTATGTAATCTCGTATAGTTTTAGTATATATGTTTTTTCGTGTGTATCAAATAAACCGGCGCTTTTTCTTACCTTTTTATATTGATGGATTCTTCCATGATAAACTCTATCAATATACAGTACATTAAATACACTTCATGACTACATCTAATATCAATACATGGTTTCATTTATTAGAAGATTGAATATATATTCTTCTGACCTTAAATCTGGCCATAATAATCAAATTGCTAAATGTATAAATACATATATAGCGAATTTGACGGGTCAAACCTCTCAATTAAGTCCAATCTGCTAATTTATCCTCAATCCGCTATCTTCCAAACGGGGCCATTATATAGAAGTACAATTTCCATCTTAAATCAAATTCAATTTTTGAAATTTCACAAAATAATTTACAAACTCTCATCTCTTAAAACATAGGTCAAAATACCTGTGCTTCAGTGTTACTTTTTCAATTTTTTTTTTTTTAAATGCAAGTCATTTGACATTATTCTTGTCCTTTCTTTAGAGCCTAACATATATAGGGTCATAATATGTAGAAGTAAATGCCAATAGAAGAGTCAAATATATTAATGAGAAGGTAAAAAACAACTCACCATTCTCCAATTCTCCACTTTTCTTATGTTTGTCTCAAACACTGGCATCAACAAGGGCATTTTTTTTTTTTTTTTTTTTTTNNNTTTTTTTTTTTTTTTCTTTTTTGTTCACTTTGTCTTTATTCACCAAACTTATGTATTTTTACAATCAACTATGTATGAAAATTATTGTTGAATTAATATTTTTTCTTATAAATAGCTAATAAAATTTCCAATTTTGTAAAAGTACACTCAACATATGAGTAATGCTGTTGTAAAAATATACATAGCACAATCTCATTATATTCCCAAATTAACATTGACAATACAGTCATGGGATTTTTTTTATTGAATTAGGGGAAACTATACTAAAAATTACAAATTTATCACATTTTAATGTCCTTTCCATGGTTGACAAATTAAATGCCATTAACAATTACAATAAAATTGAATTATATTTTTATTTGTGTAATAATTAATAAATATTTAATGTGAAGTTATGCGATATAAAAAAAAAAACTAATAATAATTTTACTATTACAATACGCTATAAAAATAATAAAATAATAACTATTAAATATATAAGTAAACTAATATAATTTTACTGGTAAAAGTACAATTGCTGACGTCCGAACTTGCCGCACAAAATTTAAGCATAATACATGTCAATAGTCAACGATGGAGTAAAAGCTGCAGAGTATGAAGTTAAACCAGAAAGGCAAAAACTGTCAAACAAGAAATGGTTCGAAGACCTCGACAACGATAATTGGGGAAGTCCGAACAAATGTTCGGTTGACTAGCTAGTTGTAACTTGTATTTGCACTAATAACTGACAAGACCGGCAATCTATAGGTTGTCGAGAGTACCCTCCTGACCGTTGATCATGTCGAGATTCGAACCATAATCATTAGATATTAAACGAGCTTGTATTTTCCAAAAATATAATAACGCATGTACTACTCACAGTTTTACTATATATACGCACAATATAGATTGTACCAAGTATATAAGTAGGCCAACGAGCCACTGTAAAATGATCTTTTACCGAAATAATAAAAAGATTTAGAGAAAAAAAGCGAACTTAAAATAGATCGGCACATTATTGTAAATATTCATTTCCTAAGTTTTGAACAATTATTAACATCCGATACTACGAATCCATATAGCAACAAGAATATTATTGGTTGATTTTTTTTGAAAAAAAAAAAATTATATTACAGAATATAGTGGAAAACACAAAAATGAAATAAATAAAATATGCTTTTTTAATTTATGAGTTATATAACGAGATTAAAAATACATCTAATTCAAAAATTAATAAGGTCGTTGGTAGAAAAATATATCAATTAGACAATCATGTTTCGCGAATTGTCCCAATCAGTCGACTCGAACCGTCTTATAGCCTCCAATTACCTGCAAAACCCGAGAGGGATCTTGACGAAAAATACTCGAACGGTCAAAGCCAATTTGTGTCCAACGATATAATAGAAGTATATTTGGTGCATGTATGTGTTATCTAAAAATAAGAACATGTCGAACATGTTATAATTAGGGTTGTGTGCTGATCAAGAGACTCATAGTATGGTAAGAAGTCTTCCCGTATCTTTACTCCTAACTAACTAGATCTTCCCATATGTTCTTGAGGATATATACTTTCATTCCATATAGGGTTATACTCATACTAGTTGTACTCTACTTAGGTCTCTAATTTTATATTATTTTTTGTGCCATCCTACTTTGTCTCAGTGTCAAGCTATCCAACTTAGATATACGAGAGATCGCACTCCCGTCAAAACATACCGAGATTGTTGTCCGTATTTACTGTCACCAGGTCGGCAATTATCTAACTCAGTTGGTGAGGTCTCCCTCCGCTCGAACCATATGCCCCTGATGTCACGATCTCGAACAACTTGAAGTCATGCGCAGATTACTACTAAAAGATCGAGCCCATACGTCACTCGTTCATCAAGCCTCCTGATGTCATTTTGTTTGGATATGTCTTGATGACCGAGCTAACCCGAACTATCTGGTCTGACACCGATTACCATCGATCCGAGACCTTACAGCGGTTCTAACGACATGGTCGTTGATGATGTATCAAATTATACTTTAAAAAAAATCAAAAAATTAAATTACATACTTACAAAATAACATAAAAACCATGATATATATATTTCATAATATAAATAAAAATTGTGATTAATAAAATACGGGATGCGACTATCCGCCACGCGTTAAGCGACATAAAATTGCCCAACAAAATTTCAACGGAATTTCCCCTTTTCTATCATAGTATTTGACTGCAACCCACCTCACCAAACGCCTAGTGGACCCGCCATTCACGCACCGCCACTTGTATGTTCCCGAACCCACCGTCCAATAGCAAATCAAACAAATACGTCCCGATACATTCTCTGCTGCACACCACACCACACCACACCACATCTTCTCTCTCACTCACTCCTATTTATGTCCCCCACTTTTCTCTCAGGTGGGCCTCCAAAAGCAAGAAAATCCAGCTCCCCCCTCCCCCCCGCCATGGCCCCACCACTCTCCTCTCCTTCCAAGCCGCCGTGCGGTGGCTCCCGCTTCTGGTCATCGGCGCTGAGGACGAAGCCGGTTGCCTCCGCTGGGGCCGCCGTCGCCGCCTCTGGAGAGGGCCTCGTCCGGCGGTTGGGGCTACTCGATCTCATCCTGATCGGCGTCGGCGCGTCCATCGGCGCCGGAATATTCGTTGTCACAGGCACCGTCGCTCATGACGCCGGCCCCGGTGAGTTAGCGCCCTTCGACCTGGGACCGCATTTAGCGCGCTATCACGCGCATTCGTGTGTGTGTGGCGTTTAGCTTTTCTTGTGTTTTCCTGTTTGAATTTGGTTTGTGTAAACGGAGTGCATCTGCCGTTTGGTGCTTCAATGTGGCTACAATTCTCTTTTCTCCAGACTCGACTCTATTGGTTCTGCCTCTTGTTTATGTTATCTTATCAAAATCTGAAAAAATGTGTGTTGAAGGTGTATTAGATCTCAATTATTTTATCATTATGGCGCTATCTTTTAATTCATAATTATATTCGATGTATATAGATTTTTGTAAAATAATAATATTCACGAGGACCATTTGTTAGCATGACCATGTCTCTTGTTTTTGGTGAGCAAACATGCATTTCATTGTGATGGTTATTGTGCCTTCGTTAAACAGCAATGAGTCCGTGGAGTTCGAAAAATCTAATGGGTGTTCGATTAATTAAATTTGAATGGCTTAACATTATTGTAAGGGTGTACTTGTGGTCATTTAATAAACCTTTCAGAACAGCCACATTAAAGATCTCTCTTCAGAACCTATGTCGCCCTTTGTTTACGTCTTTTGAGTATATCTTTCTGAGTAAATGAACACTCATCTGCTCTTGCTGCAGGAGTCACGATTAGCTTCGTCATTTCTGGTGCATCTTGTGTACTGAACGCTCTCTGTTATGCTGAATTATCTTCTCGTTTTCCGGCCGTGGTTGGGGGAGCTTACCTCTACACCTACTCTGCTTTCAATGAGCTCACTGCTTTTCTGGTGTTTACCCAGTTGATGCTCGACTACCACATCGGTGCGGCCAGCATAGCACGTAGCTTGGCGGGCTACTTGATTAATGTGCTGGAGCTGATTCCTGCTCTCAAGGGCGTCTTTCCTAACTGGATCGGGCACGGCGAACAAGTACTGGGGCCATTATCTATTAACATATTAGCTCCCATTATTTTAATTATTCTGACTCTGGTCCTATGCCGAGGAGTAGGAGCATCTTCAATATTGAATGCGATCATGACTGTGACAAAGGTTTGTTTTTTCTGTCCAACCAAAATAATTTTCTCCCGAACTATTGAACTTACAAATATGAAACGAAAGGAGAACATTAAGGTGTATATTTGATCCTAAAGTCGACCGTAACTTGCTAGTTGCTAACTATTGAACTCAGTTTATCAGATATTGTGTAAAGATGCTATTGCAAGAAGATCAGAAATAAAATGGATGGACCAAAAAAATTAGTAAAAAGTGTATCACCATGTGTTCTTGCTTCATATATTTG